CTTAATTATGAGAATAGTAAAAGATAGATTGTTCTTTTATGGCTTTCTTAACTTTTTGGCTAAGATCAAGTGTAATATTTATTCTTATTAGATCATCCTATTAAAATTCTTTTGAGAAGACTTATCTAAAAACTCGCATTTTAATTAATATTTTCAAAAATTAACTATTGGACTAAAAGTTTTATATTTATAGATTATACATATCAATTATTATATTAATTTAACACTTATAATCTTTTAATCAAATAAACTTTATTTACTAATATATATTTAACAATGCTAAATTTCCTATAGTTAACAAAGTGATTAATTAAGTTTACTACAACAATTTAAAATTTTTTTGCATGATCTATATAAATAGAATTTTCAACTCAACAATTAATTTTTAAAAATATTAACTAGAAAATAAGTTCTTAAATAAAATCTCTAAAAAAAGTTTAAGATAACAATTTGTAAGGCACTTTTCTCAATTATTTTTCTATCTAAAATTATTTATCATAAAATATTATGGCAATTGTTGATCATGTTACGAACTACGGTTGAAATAATTTCCCCAAAATTTGGTACAAATTAAAATAATTACTCTTCATTAAATGTTCCTGAGAAAAACGACTATACAACATTGAAACCGATTAAGCTGCCATTAAAGGATGTTACATATTCGTAATATAAATCCATCCCTTTACTCTCAAACCTCAATGCCAACTTGCTCCGAAGTTCTTCCCCCTGCTAGCTATAAGCCTAAACAAACAAGAGATCGCTACCAATGGCAATGGAGAAGCTTTATATCCTGGTTGCCATGGTAGTCTTCTTGTTGGCTAGCAGGGTAACATCTCAACCTGCTCTTGCTCCTGCTCCGGATAGTCAACCCCTTGATGTGGATTACTTTAGAAATCCAGTGAAGTTCCTTGAAGTTTGTCCACTTTTTAAACACATAACTGATAATAACTGTATCGAAGCCCTTACCCTAAGCGTATTTTATAGAAGTAGCCTAATTATCACCAAGGAATGTTGTAAGCAGCTTTTATCTTTTGGACGTAAATGCCATCAAGCCTATGTGAATTCGTGGCGGCATTCGCCGTTATGGGGTTATCCTGCTACGGAGGAAAGCAACAGAGTACACGCAGACGAACTTTCACGTTTGGGGGATGAAGTCTATTATGAGTGCTCTTTAAAAATCAGAGGATAATACTCAATTGCTTATTCCTCTTCTAAAGAAGACTTCTTCATTCCTTTCTCTTTTCTTATGGTATTTGTTTATTATCCATTCCAATAATAATAATAATAATAATAATAATAATAATAATAAGGGTTTGTTTAGTCTATGTGTCTTAAAGGCACTAATTAAAAGTATAATTATTATTTTTTTATAATAATAATTATTAAAAAATTAAAAAACTATTATTGATTTCATCATTAGTGTTACGTAAATAATTTTAATTTAACAGTTACTTAAATAAATATTAATTTTTATTTTTTTTAATAGTAATTAATGAGAGAAAAATATAATAATTACATCCTTAATGGCAAATGTTAGAAAAATCCTAATAATAATAATAAAACACAAATCATTCTCCAATGTTTCTTTTACATTTTATGTTGCCTAAAGGAAGAAACGTGGTGACTTACATGACAACAAATTTTTAGGGGCTTAATTGAATTGTGTACAACTTTCAGGGACTTATTGTGTGATTCTCCTTTCTTTGTACAAGTAACTCCTCATCGCTGAATACCCCACTTCAGGGGTTCGGAGTTCGGACCCATCCCTCTGCTTGCAGCTAAGAGCATATAATTAAATCTACCATCTCATGGTAGGTATGGCCGCCGGCCATCATCTCTTTGGTAGCTTTAACCGGGATCCGCAAACACCTATATCTGGGTATGTCCCATGATCGAACTCCAGCTCCCCTCCAAACCCAATAGGTAGGTCCCCAGTGCACCGCCCGGCATCAATCAGAAAACCCCCTCCACTAAGGTCCATGGAACCCAGCTAACCCAGAAACCATTTACAGCTTTTATTATTTATTGTTGCAATTCAAATTCAGGTGCATTTCTCTTGCACCCACTTTAATATTGTCCTCCTATTTGCTTGATTTTGTGCTGGGCTATGGATGTTTTGTTGTAGGTTTCTGATCTCTGTTTTACTCCTATTTGCTTCATTCATAGACCAATTTTTGATGTCTTCACTTTTGCATTTGTGCAGCTCCATTGATCATACTTTCAATTTTGCACTTTTGCAGTGATACTTTAGGAACTGATATCATGTTATGGCAAAGGCTTTCCAGTAGAATCAACCTCAATAATTTGAAAAATCTTGGGCGCTCCTTTCATGAATCCAGGCGAACATTTTGTGTTGCTAATAATTAAGTACAGATCCTTACTATCTTTGTGCTTGTCTTGATAAGAAAAAC